GTGTATCAGTTAGCACGATCGCATGTTTTTGTCACGAAAAAGGAGGACAATGCTGATGATGATGATGATGAGGAGGAGGGTGAGAAGGAGAAAACCGATAGATATATGCAAAATCCAGCACCACCACCCCTTAATCATCCCTCATGGTGCTTCCATTTACAGACATAATGGGTTTCATGAACCACAGCCCAATCTATATTATTTACTTTTCCAGATCATGTTTTGCGCACCTTTTTCTCGAGTCATCATAAACTAGACACTCGTTGTCACGATCGTTACTCGTCTTCGAGCACACGACGCACTCGGGGCGGTGCGGTGCGGGGGGGGGGCATTTAGTGACTTCGGAAACGTTCGCTCTAGTGGTGGAGCATTTGGTTTCTGGTACAGATACAAACACAGGCAAAAATTGAGTGTATGCACTCGTACCACCTACGTGTACATTTAGTGTAGCACTGTTCGCCTAGACAACAGGGCCCAGAAACAAACAGGCAATCACTGTTTGTTCTCCTCATATTTTAGTCGCATAGAACCGGATCCTTAACTAAACACATGGGCACAGAAACTTTTCTATCACACCCACGTGATGAACAGCAGACGGGGCGAACCCCATAGTCACGAGGGCCTACTGTTCAGTGGTGGACACCGGCAACCTAAGCCCCGGGAGTTGGAGTGGCAAACCGCATGAGGCCCCGATAGGTTACGCGTGGTATTGAACCGGACGACAGCAGAGCTGCCTATCACCAAAGTCGGGTGGCGGTGGCGGGGCTCGAACCTCGGACAACAGGGTCCAGAGCACGCCGGTGACAGCGACTAAACCACTGCGCCACCACCATGCCTGAGTTAAATGATGCTTTTCTCGTTTATAAAATATGGTGATTTGATTTATCCCTCATGCTCCATTCCGTTCTGTCCGCAGTTTATTTGCCAGAATTCGCGACACTTTTCCTACCTACCGCTGGCTCACATTTTGGAGCAAATATTTTCGGTACGTTTTCATTATCCTAGTCATTTGGTTGAATTCTATCAAGTTCGTTAAATTTTCACTGCCTTATACGTGACATTTTTGTTTCCACAATCATTGACTACAGTCCGAAACACGAGTTGCAATTATATACCAGTGTGTGCGTGTGCGTGTGTCTGTGTGTGGCACTCACCCAGATTTTGTTTCACTGCTGTTGCATCATCTCAGGGTCTGGCTTTAATTCACGGTGCTCGTGCCGGATATCCGACCAATGGTCAGGAGTCGCTGATGGACGATTTGGCCGCCATTCAACCCACTGTTTTCACTGCTGTCCCTCGTGTTCTATCCAAAATTCGTTCAGAGTATTTCAAAAAATTCCCCAAGTCCACGTGTATGCGTAATTCTTTGCACAAATTAATCCAGAAGAAATTCGCCGAACAGAGCAAGTATGTTTCTCTCTCTCTCTCTCTATGTGTGTCTGCCTCTTATTTGAGCCATTCCGTTTGTTTTACACATCTCCTCCCTATCGGATGATCGAATGGTTTCGGTGTGTGGATTTATGATTTCATATTTTGCAGTTCACCCCACCCAACTTCGATGGGGGGTGGTAGTTTCCTTGTTCTCCGTGTCAACATTGAACTTATCCCATCGGGGCCTTGTTTGGCTCCCTCTTGTTGCCGGTTCCCTTAATTTTCAGTAGTGATTGCAAAGCGGTCAGGCTGAGAGACTAACTTTTAGTTTGGAGCGGTGATGGTCGAATGATGTAAACCGTCTACTCCCACCAGTTGTACTTCATGAGTTCAAAGCCCCATTCCCGTTTTTTCCTCGTCTTCCGTTTGATGACCTGCAGCTGACCGGGGTTTACTTTCTGACACATTGATGACACTACTGTTATGTATCAAATAAACATTGCACAAACTGAAATGAACTGAAATAAATTTAAATGAAATGATTATTACCGATGTTACTATTCTTCCTAAGCTTCCATTGGACACCATACCAAGTTCTCCATCCTCAATACCATTGAATTCAACTGATCTAGGAGTGATAAGTTGCAAGCTTTTCTGAATAGTTTGAGTGCTTGTGTGGTCATGTTCGGTATGCATTTTGCACCTTCAGAGTGCAAAATGTTGCTCCAAGATTGGGTTGGTCCAGCACCCAATCTCACCCTGACTGGGGGAGTAGTATAGGAAGCAGACAAGTTCTACTATCTGGGCAGCTTTATTTCACCTGGCGGACGCATCACAGATGAAGTGTCGGCTCGCATAGAAAAGGATCCGTTGGCATTCGCCAACTTGCGACATTTGTGGCGCCGTCGCGACATCCGGCTGTCAGTAAAGAATCGAGTATATGCTGCAGCAGTTCAACCAGTGCTGGTCTACTGTGCAGAGACTTGGCCACCACGGGAAGAGGATAAAAATAGATCGTCGGTGTTCGAATACCACCGTCTACGACGCATTGCACGAGTCTGATGGGGTAACTGGATGACCCATGCTGAGGTTCGGCGTCGAGTTTTAGGCGATCGCGGTCGTCCACTGGAGCAAGTAGTCGACCTTCATGTGTATTACGCATGTCACCAGATAGGCTGCCACAGCGAGCGATGTTCACCGAAGCAGGTAAGGGATGGAGAAAAACCAAGGGTGATCAAGCTAAGATCTGGCACGAGGGTATAAAAACCCTAACCAGGGGACTGGATCACATAGGTCCTGCTAGGCTCCCTGGTTGGGGACATCGGATGGTATGCGGTATGGCTGGGTGTTGCAAACAGTGGCGCCCATGTATCTACTAATTATTCTTTTAACACCATTTCATATGCATTCTCCATCTTCCGCTTGAATTTGCTTTCAACATTCCAATCTTCATTCTGCTCTCTATCCCAAGTGGCGGCCAAAAGACAGCAAACAAAGTCGGTGCACGAAAATGCACGGTTAATGGTTGTAAAAAGTGAAACCGAAACCGATCTAGGAGTGTCAGCAACCTGTATAGTTTCTGTAACCACCGTCACCCGTGCTATTGGAGGAGATGAACCGTGATTGCTGTGAGTGGCGGGCCATACTGGCACATTTCATAATGCAGTCAATCAGTCCCCTGGCATTTATATGGGACTCGTTAGCCGGGCAAAATCTTTCCGGACGAAATCATTGACCGTCCGCAACCTCTTGTTTGGTGATATGGTTTTATCTGTTTACGATTAGTCTTTATCTCAGACCTCTAGACGCGTCTGGCAGGATTCAGCTATGCTGTAGATAATGGTTGGTTGAACAGCAAGTGTATTCAATCCAGTACCCTGAGTAGAATATGAAAACCTCTGAGAGATAGCAATCAGATAGGCAGAGTTGAAATGGGGGACCGCGGCTCACGGTAGTTACCCTATCTCTGATAAAAAAGCTGGGTATTTGACTTGTGTTTGTATTGGTTTAACTCATGTAAGCTGATATACTTATATTTTAGTCAAAAATATGCCGAATAACGTACAAAAGCTCAGAACACATACAACTTGAAAAATGTCGCTAAAGTTTGGTTTATACTCACATTCTGACGTAATTCAATAAGTACCTAATCCTTGTTGGTCAGCGGTTGAGTCATGAATTCTTATAAATGTTAATTCGAGAGAATACACGTCAAAACGAGGAGCTTGTAGACGAATGGGAACGACAAGAAGTTCAGTGAATGAAGAGAGTCATCAAGAATTTTTATTGGCGAATTTTATACAGGAGTTGATGTGGTCAATAATAAGTTTTCTGAATAACGAATCTGCTGAAGTCAGTGGTACATGGCTGATTATCACCAAACGACGATGAGTGTTTTCGAAGTATTGTTTTAATAGACCAAGAAACACTACAGGGGAGAAAAAGTGTAAGATTGGGAAATCGCTTTGGTGACCAAAAAATACAAAACTGACTGTGGGGGTCGGGATTGTCTAAGTTTCTTCAATTAAAACGAGAGGCGTCACAGTTTCTCCATGCAATTGTGGGTCTGTGCAGACCACCGGTGATTACTGTCCATGGTGATACTCAATTACTTGCCAGAGGCCAACCGAGGTAGAAGACTATAGTTAGAGGTAGCAGATTCCGTTGGAAATGAAGAGTGGAGAAAACTGCACATGCACTCTAGGCACTTGGATGTGCTGAGGCCAAGACTCGATTAAATAGAAAACTGTTAGATTCGGGATAGATTTTCAGGGACGGAGTCGAATTCCGAACAGAAGGAAATTGACACAAAACGGCATCGTCAGCGCCCTTTTCGATGTATGCCGCTGGGGGAACCGAGAAGTCACTAATAAAAGCGGAAAAGAGGTACCGGAATAAAAGAGCACCTTGAAGCACACCGGGATTGTTAACCAGCGGTTCTGATGCACTCTTGTCCTGAGCAGGAGGGATGATCGAGAAACGGAATCAGACGCAGACAAATAAACGAGGAAATCTCGACGGACTGGTTGGGCTGGATTGTTCAATAGTTTACTGATACACTGGATTACATTAGACCATGTCCAGTGTAAATCTGACGGATTTATATGCAAACCAGAGGGGGGAGGGGTCATAGGGGATTGTGGTAATTAACTGCGAGTAACTTGGGACAGCCTTTCCAGTCAACTTAAAACCACTGGAGGTCAATGTAATAGGATGAAAACATTTCGGAAGAACGGTTAAAAATGCGGTCTTTACGATTGGAATTATACAGGATATTATTGCACTGGTTAAGGGAGCTGCTCTCAATTTGAGAAGCACTGGAAAGAAACACATCAGGGTCTGCAGCCGGGAATACCTTAGAGGTCCAGAGAAGATTTACCATTGGAAAATCATACCGGACTGGACTTATTTTACGGGGAGGGAGAGAATGAAGTTCTAATTTGACGAGTAGATGAAGACGGTCTTTAGGCTGTTGACGTCCACGTGATTTTGTTTTTTCTGTTCTACCCACAGAGAAGATGAATACTTTGCCATAAAGGCTTGGTGTTCTTTCATTATTCTTCCCTCTTGGTACTGTAAACTGTGACTCTGCTGCATGCATTTCCTTTTTGGAATTGGCTTTTTGTCAACTGGATTTGTTCCCGTCTCATTTGTCCATTCTAGAGGAAAGTTCAATCACAGCAGTATCCAGGACACTTTGTTCTTCAAAAAGTTTCGAAAGGCGTTTGGAAACCACGTGTGCGGTGTGATCAGTGGTGGGGCTCCTCTCGATCCTGAAGTATCCCTATTCTTTCGGGCGGCCTTTAACGGACCGGTAATTATTGATTCTGATGCAAATTTTGTGCCGTCCTATTTCACATTGATTAGTTGGATAGCTAACTGAACCATAGTCACTCGATACTACGTATTGTATCACTTAGGCTCCTTGGAGAGACCAGAGGTGGTTAGAGACGCTAAGGGATATGGATGAGTATCGCAAACAGTGGTACCCGTACATCTACTCAATATTCTTGCAACCCCAGTCTGTGTGAATTCTTTATATTCATTTTGACTCTGCTGTCAACATTCCAATCTTTATTCCGCTCTTTTATCCAAATGGGCGACAAAAAGACAGCAACCGAAACCGACGCAAGAAAGCACATGGTTAATGGTTGTAAAATCTGAAACTAAAACTAATTTGCCCGAGGAAAATTCGAATGAGTGGGCTTTGCATGCAGATCAGGACACGTGATGCGTATACCCAATTAGCGCCTATCCCGCAGTGCCTTCTGTTCAGTTGCCTTTCCAGATTCGAGAATATCGCATGGAGGTCAACAGAGAGTGTGGGGACGAGAGATGAAGAACCGTACGGAGAGGTTGAGTGAAATAGGTATCTCTCGTCTGGCAACCAGGCCCAAAACACTTCGTTACTAGCTGGTTGGATACATTGAAGAATATAGAATATATAGGGTGGTGGTGGCGCAGTGGTTTAGTCGCTGTCACCGGCGTGCTCTGGACCCTGTTGTCCGAGGTTCGAGCCCCGCCACCGCCACCCGACTTTGGTGATAGGCAGCTCTGCTGTCGTCCGGTTCAATACCACGCGTAACCTATCGGGGCCTCATGTGGTTTGCCACTCCAAGTCCCGGGGCTTAGGTTGCCGGTGTCCACCACTTAACAGCAGATCCTCGTGACTATGGGGTTCGCCCCGTCTGCTGTTCATCAC